AAACAAAATACTTTCTCCTGGGAACCAAGGACATTCCCACAGGCGGTTGGAGAGAGGTGGAGTGAAGTTACCAGGCAACCGGACAACACCTTGATTGGACCATGTGACTGGTTGTTGGGGTGGGAGAAAACTTTTACTTTTAATTAGGTGAAATCCACGAGAACATTCAGAGTTGGTTTTCACCAAGCATGTGCCAATATGATATATCCAATAAAACTATTTTTTCAGGAATCTACCTGCCTTGGAGTTCTGTTTGCTATGGGTGTATTACTTGGAAACCCTGACAGTAGAATTACTACTAAACAGTTAAGTTTCAAAGTTTAACATGCTGTTCTCTAATATTCTCTAGATATGCTGGACTACAATTCCTAAAATTCTCAGTGGTTGGAAATTCGTGGAGTTATTCTAACCTAGGAAATCTTAGTCTAGCACATCTTGAAGACACCGGGTTGGGGAAAGCTTAGCAGCACATAACTTATAAATACACTAAATAAGACCTAACCTATCTATTCAATTACTGTGGTATGCGAAAGCTCAGAGGAAGCAACATTTTCAACAATCCACTAAAGCTCATAATTGCTTACTTTAATTTCAGGAAGCGTTATCCTCAATTCAGGGTTCTTTTCCAGCATCTTCAGAATCAGATCCTTCAGTTCTTCACTGGTCTTGATCCTTGTGGTAGCAAATATAAAATATTTGGTTAGGACAATGTTTCTTAACCTTGGCATCTTTAAAATATGTGGACTTCAATGCCCAGGTATAAACTATAGCTTCCCAAACCTTACTCCTTGTTCCAAGAAACACTATTTAAATTTCAAAATAGATAAAATTGTGCATGTAAACCAGGGGGGGGGGGTTGGTTGCTTGGTTCCGGCAGCCACTACTGCCGGTTTGCTTGTGGTTGCATGGCGCGTGCGCTTGATGTGCGCTGCCATGCACGCGCAGTACTAAAAAAAAAAAAATGAAATGGTCCAAACCAGTAGGAACCTACCTCTGATGTAAACCTTTCCCCTCCCCACATCTAGCCATTGCAACCAGAGTGAAACTGAGTGGAGAATCAATCAGCTTGTTTTCCAACAGGCGCAGGATTCTAATACAGTTAGTCCTCACTTTAAAACTGCATGAGCCCAAAATTTCTGTTGCTAAGTCTGACAGTTGTTAAGTGAATTTTGCCCCATTTTACAGCCTTTCTGGCCACAGCTATTAAGTGAATCATTGCAGTTCTTAAGTTAGCATCAGAGTTGTTAAGTGACTCTGGCTTTCCCATTGACTTGCCGGTCAGAAGGTCACACAAGGTGATCAGATGACCACGGGACAGTGCAACCCATTATGCCAGTTAACAAGCATCTGAATTTTGTTCAGGTGGCCATGTATTTCAGTGGTAGGATTCAGCCAGTTCGCACCTATTCAGGAGAACCGGTTGTTAACTTTCTAAGCAGTTTGGAGAACCGGTTGTTGGAAGAAATCTCCTTTTGTTTTNCTAGCTAGCTAGCTAGCTAGCTAGCTAGCTATTTAGTAGCTATTCATACTAAATTAGGAAAAGATACAAATGTTTAGTCTCAATAAATAGCAGTGATTGTCAAGCTTTCTTTGGTTTGGAAACTAAACATGATCATGCCTGATTAGTACTTATTTGTGCTATAAGCTACACTAGAAAATCAAAAAATCCTGGGGAAAAAGCAATGTTAAACTATTCCTACATTTCTTCCAGAAAACTCCATGGATCTGTCCATGTAGTCACCAATAACTGAGACCAATTTGAAGGCAATTTTAATTATATGAATATTTAAATTGCATAGTTAAATGGCTCTCTATCTTCCATAAGATAGAGGAGAGAACAGGAGCCACTGTGCTGGTGATTTTGTGTTATATGTTGTGTATGAGATGCCTACGTGGTACTTACCAGTAGGAAGGCTGGGCTGTGAATTTTGGGATTGGACGCCTTTGTCCAAGACTTCCACTGTTTGAAGAGTTTGAGACAGAGGATGAGAATGTTTGCAGTTCTACAGCATTGACCACATTTCCATGCTGACCTCTGTTGGAAATTGGGTGGCTTTTTAAAATCTGGCGATGGGGCTCAGAACTGCCCTGTCTGTCATTGTTGGTCTGCTGCTGGAGATTATCTAAGTCACTGAGAGTTGTTTGGGCTATTTTCTGGAATAGCTGTTTCCAGATGAAGGAGGAGGCTGAGGAACAGGTCAAGAAATGCCAGGCTGGCTTTGTTTGCAATCCTAATGAATTAGCTGTTGGCACTGAACAAAGGATGAACTCAACCAAACATGGATAAGAGCTACTATTAAGGTCTACCTTATAATAGAAAGGGTGGTGAAGAGCACTTCGCCGCCCTTATTGCTGTCCTACAACCCTATTTTGAATTACTGAGACCGTCCTGGGTAACGGAGGGCATAGAGATCCTCTTTAAAGGGCATGGAGAGGCAGTTGCACAATATCTATCACTCAGAGTTATAGCCTTGTCATAAGTCCAGAAGAGATGCCTAAGGAAGAGTTTTGCTCAGTTATCTGGGAATGATTTGAACCTGTTGGAACTGAGGAAATGGACAAGGTCCTCAGAATTGTGAGCTTGGCCAACTGCTCCTTAAATCCATACATAGCTGGTAAAAGCAGATTTGTGAGTGGATCTTGGCAGTAGTTAATTCTTTTTTGAGTGTGAGAGTTGAGTGTGCCCCTTTCTCACGAAGTCATTGCTGAACCCCACTATACTGGACAGTTTTCATCCAATTTCCCTTTTTGGAAGTGATTACGCAACAGCTTCAGAGTGAGCTTTAGAGGAAATGGATTATCTGGATCCTTTCATGGATATGGAATGGAAATGGCATTGGTCACACTTATGGATTATCTCTGGTGTGGGCAGAATCAGATTTAGTGAACTATCTTGGCCTTGCTTGACCTCTTGGTGGCTTTCAATATCATTGTATTCTTTTGGATCAGTTCAGAAGACTAGAGGTTTTATGCTGGTTTGCCTCCTTTGTTCAGGCTGGGCAACTGCCTTTCCCTACTTACATCATCCCACCCACCAGATTTCCCAGAAAAGGCATACTGTAGGTACCTCTCTACATTTGGAGAGTGCCAGGAGGCATGCCTTCTCTCCTGTGGTGCCAGCCTTATGGAATATTTCCCCCCTGAAATTAGATTAATGACATCCCTTTGAATATTCCAGAAGGCCGTTAAAACCTGGTACTCCCATGGGACTATGGACATATCTAAATGGCTCCATTGTTGAGGGGGGCATTTTAATTTTTTTACACAATTTCTTATGTTTCTGATATTTTTAAGGCTATTTATTATTATGGTCTTTTATATTTTCACTATTAATATATTGTATACTGTCCAGAGTCACCTTGGTAGAATAGGTTGCTATATAAATTTGACTGATCAGATAGATAGATAGATAGATAGATAGATAGATAGATAGATAGATAGATAGATAGATAGATAGATAGATAGATAG